CAGCCAAAGAAACGACACTTCTCTTTTTCATTTTTATTTTTTTATTATTTCGTTCTTTCTTTTTTTCTTATTTTTTCCACATATGTAATACACTTTGTAATACTTTAAGCAATAAAAAATAAATAAATAAATAAATAAATAAAATAAAAAATTGACTACAGGAAGAGGGTCTTTCAGGCTCTCTCTAATCAGTGATTTGAAGGTTGTGTCTGGACTTGTAGCATCAGCACCACCTGGGAAAAGTTAGAAATGCACATTCTTGGCCCTGTCAGACCTCTGGAATCAGAAATTCTGGGGGTGAGCCTATCAATCTGTGGTTTAACAAACCCCCCAGGTGATTGTGATAAACGCTGAAGTATGAAAACCACTGCCACTGCCTCTGTTATAGAGGTAGATAAGCCACTTAAAAACAGGATAAAAGAATTCTACTGAACTTAAAAAGAAAAAATTAACTCAGGTAACTACAGAAAACAAATCCAAACATAGAATTGCCTTTTCATTTCTTAAATTCTCTTTAAACTTTAGTGGATTTGTGTGTGTCCTTAGAATTTTTTAAAAATCAAAGTGACTTACAATGAGCATACAATAAAATGCTCCCATTTTAAGTAGATGGTTTTATGTCTTTTGGCAAATGTATTCTAGTACATCCATGCAATGACCTCCACAATTGAAAGAACATTTTCACCTGCCCACCTGGCCCCGTTTCGGTCAGTATTTCCCAGGACTTCCAGTACCAGGTGCTGCTGATCAGTTTCTGTCACTATAGATTAGGTTTGGCTGTTGTATATTTGCTTACAAATTGACCATGCAGCATGTGTGATTTCTTTTGTTTAGCATAATATTTTTGAGATTTGTCCATGTTATGTGTATTAATAGTTTGTTCTTTTTTACTGCATACTAATATTCCATTTAATGGATACATTATCATTTGTTTATTCCCAATGAACATTGAGGTGATTTCTGGGTTTTTTGGTTGTTATGAATAAAGCTTCTATGAACAATAATTTTTTGTGTTCGTATGTTTTCATTTTTCAGATGTAGGAATGGAATTGGTAGGTTGAATGGTAAATGTGTACATGATGCTGCCCAGCTATTTTTCCATTGTGTTGCACCATTTTACACTCCCACAAGCTATGTATGTGCTTGCATATTTGTTTTTGGCTACTGAGTATTTTAGTTCCCTTCCTTTGGGGATTTCTTCCCCCCTTCCTGCCATATAGAAGTGATATTTGGATCTTTTTCCAGTTAAGGCTGTGCAGGAGTTTTCAGTGTCACTAGGAGTAAAAGGAAAATGGATAAAGGATATCCACTAACAATCTACAACAAATATCATACCTACTGGTCAAACTTCAGAAAAATGTCTACCAAAGTCAAGAATAAAATAGGATATAAATTTACACAATGGAATATTACTCCGCTATAAAAAAGGAAGGAAATTTTACCCTTTGTGACAGCATGGATAGACCTAGAGAACATTATGCTCAATGAAATGTCAGTCAGAGGAAGAAGACAAGTACCATATGGTTTCTCTGATGTAGAATCTAATGAACAAAATGAACTAACAAGCAAAATAGAGACAGATTCATAAATAAAGATAGCTGTTGGTGGAGGGGGGGGGCTGGGGATGGTGAGGGGTTGAGTAAAAAAAGAAAAGAAAGGTAACTCATTATAGACAATAGTGTGGTGTTTGCAGGGGGTGGGGGGAGGTGCAGGGTATAGGGGAGGATAAATGGTGATGAAAAAAATAAACTTTAAAATAAGATAGGATATCTATTATCATCTTATTAAGTAACATTATATAAAAGGATAGCATCTCCCTAGCCAGTTTGGCTCCATGGATAGTGTGTCGGCCTGTAGACCCAAGGGCCCCAGATTCGATTCTGGTCAATGGCATGTACCTTGGTTGCAGCCTCTTCCCTGGTCTGGGCCCTGGTCAGGCTCGTGCAGGAAGCAACCAATTGATGTGTTTCTCTCACATCAATGTTTCTCTCTGTCTTTCCCTCTCTCTTCCACTCCCTCTAAAAGATCAATGGAAAAATATCCTTGGGTGAGGATTAACAAAAAGATAAAAGGATAACATCAATGCAATAAGACAAGAAAATGAAATGACTGTAAAAAAACAAAACTAACATAATATTCAGATAATACAAATATCTCCTTAGAAAATTTAAGAGGGTTTCTAATCATTAAAAATCCTATACATTTAGAAAACAATAGTAAAATAAGGGCAACAAAATCTACAAGTTACATCAAATGTACTGCATTGGGCAGAGGTGCACAAAACATAAATGAAAAGTGAGGTTTACTGTCAGAAGGGTTAGCTGTGTGGAGAGGTTGCAACTCGATACACCATGGAAAGTGCTTCAAAAGAGGAAGGGAGAGGGGGAGAGAGAGAGAAACATCAATGATGAGAGAGAATCATTGATTGGCTGTCCCTGTAACATTATACATGTTAATACAAAAGTTAGGAGGGAACAGCTGGTCAACTTTTTAACAATAATTGCTTCTTGGCTGGGAAATTGGCCTTGTTGGACCAGCGCTTAGCCAGAGGAGATCACATGCCAGGCCTGCTGGTGAAAAAGCTTTGCTACCTGCTCAAATACCAAAATGAGGAGGGAATGAGCTTTCTGGGACACCTGGGGTTGCCTTTGTTTAAAATCTAGCCTTTACGGCAGCATCACATAGTGGTTAAGAGTGCAGACTCCGTAGCCAGACTGGTTCATCTGAACCCCTATCTGCCTAAGTTTCCTCGTCTGTAAAATGAAAATAACATGCCTGCTTTGTTACTGTTAAAGGGATTATATGTACATGTCTAAAGCACTTAGAACTGTGTCTAGCAAGTACTGGTCTCGTTTTAATTATTTTTTAAATATATTTTTATTGATTTCAGAGAGGAAGGGAGAGGGAGAGAGAGTTAGAAACATCAATGATGAGAGAGAATCATTGATCAGCTGCCTCCTGCACACCCCACACAGAGGATCAAGCCCGCAACCCAGGCATGTGCCCTTGACCGGAATTGAACCCGGAACCCTTCAGTCCACTGGCTGACGCTCTACCCACTGAGCAAAACCAGCTATTTGGTAAATCAGAGATAGAAAAAAGTAATTCCTAAAAGAAATGGACTTAGGAAAAAAGTTATAGAGGTAAAGGAAGGGCCCTGGGAACTTGGGAGTGAAGAAGGTAATGGTAAACATGCCTGGGGCACGGAGGGGAAAGAGAAAGGCATGGACAGACATGCTCCCCGGAGGGAGAGCGCCTTAGTTCTTATTTTTTATAATAATTACACAATATTGAAATTATTTTTAAAGTATAAACCCAGAAAAAATTAAGAAAGCGGGAGGGGACCATCAGCACATAGAATATTTTAACAAATTTTTGGGAGGTGGAAACTCAAATTGAATAGTAGTAACCAATGAAGTGGGCCAAAGGAAACCACAGCCTGAACACACATATCACCTGTGGGAGACTTCACCCTGCAGAGAATCCTGGAGCAGCGGGGGACTCCGAGTGCCAGGTATGCCAGGTAAGAAGGAGGGCAGGAATGACGGGAGGGGCTGAAAGTCGATGGACTAATTTCAAATCTGTGCATGGGACAGTTGGCTCCCTCCACCCCACCGTCAGATTATTTGATAGGGTTTAAACCTGAGGCAAAAAATATTAGATGATTATCTTTAAAGAAACTGAATAAGCTGTTTCAGCTAACTTGAGCTAGTGTGGGCACTGGGACCCCCAGACAAGGAATCCTAGAATTGGTCATTTTCTGGTCAAGGAACATGCCCAGTGTGCTTTCAGCTGCCAGCTCTGTCTGACAGGTGACTTGAAGTAGTTCCTCTGATTTAGAGCTTCTCCGGGATAAACCCTGGCTCCCCAATCTGGCCTCCAAGTAAAGGGCTTAGTTCAAATCACAATTATGTGGCTTTTCATTAGATTTTAACTGTAATTCTGACCAATCAGCTTTTCAGTGGCCTACTTCTTAAACATAAATTGTAAACCGAGAATCAGTGTACATTTGAGGATGTCTGGAAATGTGAAAAATAAACAAATGTAAATGGTAATAGCCTTGGAGAAAACATAATTTAGGAGACTGATGAACTAAACCTTAGTATTGATAAAGTTAATTTATGAGGACCCACAAAATGGAGGCCACCCCTGTGGCCTAGCCCAAGTCACAAATCTGAACCTCAGTCAGCCTGCACTTATGGGACACACACCTGTCAGGGAAACTTAACATCCACCAGTCACAATCCTCCAACTCGGCTTTGGCTAGTTTACCTTCCCCTAGGAAAACATACTGGTAAGTGAACCCCCACCCTCTTAGCCAGCCCTGCCCTGTTTCCTGTTGCCTCTTCTCTATAAAACTCACTCTTGCCCCGAATCCCTGGAGAACAGTGTCCACTGCTTGTGAGGCACCCCTCCCCAATTCCGGGCTGTTTTCCCTTGAACCAGGACAGCAAACTCCTTATTAACCTTAGTTTTATCATCTGACAATATTGTAGGAGAGAGCCAGAAAGGTTGTGTTGGCTAAAAATAATAAGATGTCATGAAAATAAAGAACAAGAAAGAGCTGTGGGACATTAAAACTATAATTGCTGAAATTAAGAATTACTGTTGGAGAGTTGGAAGATACTGGAGAGGAAATTTCCCAGAAAATAGAGCAAAAGCACTAAGAATATAAGGGGGGGTGGGGGAAGGTTTAGATGATCAATTAAATCCCCACCTAAATCATGGGGATACCAGAAGGAGTGAAAAGAGAAAAGCAGACAGTTGGAAATCATCAAAGAAAATTATAGAAAACGATGTCTTAGGGCTGATGGGCCACCCCCGTGTTCAGGGTGAAAGGGCCCATTGGGTGCCCAGAACAATGAATGTAGAAACACCCAAACCTATACACAACATTTTAGAATTTTATAACCCCAAGGATAAAAGAGAAAATCCTAAAATAAACCAGAGAGATAGAAACTGTCACCAGCAAAGAAATAAGACACTAGCACACTGTGAGCAATAACCAATCTTAAGTGTTGAGAATAAAACACTTCCTGTTGTGGGGCTGTAGGTGTTG